CCAAACAAAGTAGTTTCGCTTTCACAACGAAGCACACAGCGTCTTCACGACATGGCGGCAGCGGCAACAACAAAACTACAGCGAGAATAAAGTTAGGTCTTCTTTCTTTGCGTGAACATTTGGGCGGTGTTATGCAAATCTTCCCACATCGTGACGTAAATATGTGGGGGCGTGTTAGAACAAGCCGTTTTAGGTCGGCGTGGTTGACTCTTAACTTTTATAAAGAATATCTCTTTGGATTTGAGACTTTAGTCTTTGCAACTTTACAGATCTTCTTTATGCACCAAGAGCTTGTAACACTCCAAAGAGAAAGGAAAAATTTAAATCGCATCATATGACCCCTTTAATGTCACTTTTATTAAGTTTAATGGATCCTTACTGAATAAAAGTATTAATTTCTTTAAAAAAAAGTTACTAACCCCAAGCTTTTGACTGGTAGTGCATATTAATATATTGTTATCTTATATTAGTGTATATTATTATTATTAAAAAAATTAATGCTTGGTTGTTTTGTTGTTAAAAAGCTATAATATAAAAAAAAACACGATGACAATATTTTATTATGACAATATATTATTAGCCTGTTATTTATACACATAGTCTGAGGTATTCTTTCAGAAATCTTCTAAGAAATGCTGAATGTTTTGATTGGGGTCCATCTTGCCTCCCAGGATGTAACTCCTCAGTCTGTTAACTATGCGTGAAGCACTGTACCATCCACGTACTGCACAGCCGGTGTGTTCGAAACCAACATGCGGATCATTGAGCCAGCAGTTTCCATGGTTATTTGTGCTTTTGAACCCCAGCCAAATGTGGGAGATGATTTTCAGCTGGGGTCATCAATCCTCCAATTTCTCCTCTCCAAAAACAGTGCTTTGTGCAGAGGAAAGTGCTTTCTCTCAGTGCATGCTTCACACTTTGACAAGGAATTCCACCAGTGTTTCATTGTAGTTGCATAGTTATCCAACATTTGTGGGAAATTATTTTAAATCTACAATGTAAAAAGCTACAGCTTCGTGCAATTTGTCAGATTATAAGTGGCCCAATAGTGTATCTTGACACTTAAGCCACATTTAAAATGTATGAATGTCATTGCATTAGATAACAACATAGATAGCATAAGCCTGTTTAACAAGCACGAAAAAAAAGTTTATTAGGTTTTACACTTTTCAAAATTTGATATACTGTAGATATACTATTCAACCAAAACTTTTCGGTTGTCAGACATTAGGCATTTCACACTTAGTTAATGTGATGAACTGCACTTGCGATTACTCTGCTAAGACATCTCTGTGAATTTGACTTAATATTTCCACTAAAATGACCCAGTTTGTTCAGAAAACATAAAAACATTAGTTCTGAGAAAAGCTCATGTTGACTGATGCCTCTTTATTTTCTTTTAATCGAATGCACTAACATTCATACAGTTTAAACACCAAAATACTTTTTGAAGCCATTGCATATAGTGACCTAGCAGTCCAAGTCTAAGTCAAGGTTATTGCGTTAGGGGTCATTGCAGAGTGGAATGATGGAGTGCCACCTGACCTGCCAACAAAGCCTGCCAATGCTTCCGTTCCATCAGATGTCTTTCGACACGGCCCTAAGACACTCCGCCTCTGCTCCCCTTGAAAATAAGCTTGAGGATTTTTCCCTCTTTTAACCTGAGTGGCAGGCATCTGCGCTCTTCTGTTTACTAAATAAGCCACGGGAGCTCAAGAATCCATTTCATGTAATAGTCATCATCACATCAGGGGAAGATACTTTTTGTCTGGTGTGAGATGACTCATCTTTCACAGAGGGAAACTGAGAGCCAGTCAGTGCAGGTATTATTAGGGAGCTTTGAATGATGAAGGGATTTTAGGTAGAACTAATAAAGCTTCAGTTTTTTGTTGTGACCTTTGATAATGAAATTACAAGTGCTAAATCAAAACATTCCTGGGAGCTGAACCTAACAGATCATAAATCTCTCAGTGAATGAAAGGTCACGGACCTCCCTCAGCTTGCTGGACGGGTAACAAATCTATCTTCAGCATGATTTAAAGACCAAAAAAGTTAGGATGCAATCTTAACGGTACCCCTATAAATATTATCATTGTCCTTCTGGAATGTGGTTGGAAAATATAGTTTTGTGTATTCACAGCGTTAGTTTTGTTCACCAACAAATTACTACATACTTGACTTTATCATTATTAGTTACAACCAGATTTAAGTTACAAGCAAATATCAGAGACAAAATGTTGACCAACTGCTTTGCGCACACTTGCACTATTTACTCTCGAGTTCAGGTGGAAAAGTGAGTTTGTATTTACTTTGGCTCTGAGCTTATCAGCAAAGATGTGAACTGTGTTATGAAAGACATATTTGTGGGTGGCCTTTTGCATGTTTGTGGTTTATGTGCTTGCAGACAACTTAAGCCTTTATGTTCAGCAAACTGTGTCCGTGTACAAAGAATAAATGTATTTCAAATGTTTTTCGACGATGTGCGATAACATTTTGTGATTGTCATCATTGTGAATATTCTGCACCAGTGTTGGGAAGTCTGATTCATTTAAGTGAATTGTTCATTCAGATGGTTCTTTCTAATTGCTTCAGGTTTTTTCCTCGCTTCTTTAGTTCCTTTAGTTGAAAGATCTGCATGTGCAATTCAGATTGAAATAATCTGTTTGTTAGCAAGTCGGACATCACTGTTCTTTACAGTAGTGTTCAAAAGTTGGGTCATTAGCTATGTTTCCATCCACCTATTTTTATGCACAATTTGGAATATCGCATTAAAAACGCTGGATGGAAACGCCAAGATGCACATAAATTGTAAAAATGTGCAAAAAAACGTATGCGCACAACTGAGTAGGATAAACTTTTTATCCGATAAGAAAAAATTTGCATAAACTACGATGGAAACACATTTACCGAATAAATTCCACCTTGCGCATCAAAAAAGTCATGTGACTTTGCATGATGGGACGGGATAACTTGACTAAACAGCAGACCGATCTTGTTGAGCAGCATCTAAAAAGTTGTTTTGGGCATTCTGAAATGCCTGAGCAAAGTATTTCTGTATAATTGTCTTCCATGACTGCATTCCCAAACAGCAGGCATCCACCTCCGAAAGAAATGACCGCAATTATTGTGTTTCATCTGCTCGCTGCACAGCATCTGAAATGTTGTTTTGGTCATTCTGAAAGTCTGTCATCAAAGTAGGCCTATTTCTGTATAATTGTCTTACACGACTGCGTTCCCAAACAGCAGCATCCACCTCTGAAAGCGATGACAGTGTTTACTGAGTTTCGCCTGCTCACTCTGAGGCGCAAGTAATTTATCATATATGAAGATTATTATATTTAGTGGCTTCTCCTACTTTTCTTAGTGACAGGCCTAGTGTCTGTTTATGAGGAAGTGACGATTTTGTTCTCTTTGACTTGTTGGATGGAAATGGTGCTTTATTCACAAATGTTTTATGCGATATTCCAGTTTTGCACATAAATTAAATTTGAATCTCTGGATGGAAACCTAGCTATTGATATTTTTAAAGAAAATAATGCTATGGTAATACTATAGTAATATTGATAAAAAATGACGGTAAAGATGTATGCATTGTTCTATTTCAAATAAAAGCTATTGTTTTGAACATGCTATTCATCAAAGATTCCTGAAAAATGAAGCATCTGACACTAAAGACCGGAATAATGGCTGCTGAAAATTCAGCTTTGCCATCACAAAATAAATGATACATTTTAAAATATAGAAAGCAATTATTTTAAATTGTACCAATATTGCACAACGTGACTGTTTTACTGTATTTCTGACCAAATAAATGCAGAGACTTCTTTCCAAAACATCTTACCGACCCTGAACGTTTGAACAGTAGTGTAAATATTGTAAAGTTGTCCTGTTCACCGATAGCTGTGACTATATCGAGTATCTGCCATTTGATAGCAAAACTGTATATCAAACTCTGCTGGCTGCCACATTGTACCATCAAAAAGTATATGCCATCATACTGCCCAATGCTAATCTATTCATGATTCTTTAGACCCCTGTAGAAGCTAAGAGTGTTTAGCATGTTTCGGAATAAAGAAACTCACATTGAATCTTTCATGAAATCCATTTCCCTGCAGGCTGACTTTGACTAAAAGTTGCTCCCATCTCAAGGTCAGTGCTCTGAGATTGTTTAAGTAAAACAGACTGCTTTGTAATTGATACAAAAATATCCTTCACTTTACAGAGCATCTATAAAAGGGAATTAATTTGGGGATTAAGGAAATTGGAGAAGGGAAGAGAACTACCTCTGGTGAATGCTCTTTAACCCAGACTTTCAGCACCTGACTGGCTACAACAAAGGGTAATGGTGGTGATGACGGATGCTGCTGCTGTCTCTCTGTGTGGCGCACAGTCTGCGCCTGTTTTAGTGTCGCGGTTCTGAGAGGCTCAGACTGGCTGCTACATTACCCCCAAATCTCAATCAAAGCCCACTGTCAGACCCCGGGCAAACACAGGAGTGTTTCATGTGTTTGTAGTGGTCTGAAAAATGAGTCGGTCACTCCAGTGGATACATAGAGTTATGATTGCAGGTGTCAGACTAATGTTTTTCTGTGACACTTCAAAGTGCAAATTATATTTAAAATGAAGTTTCACGCACAAATTCATAAGACAGTAAAATGATAATTATCATAATGCGAGAATGCATTAAACTGAATTGAAAAAGAATGTGATTAAAAATGTTCCACACTAAATATGAATTTACTGAAATAAAAATATTTGATATTATTTCATTTAAATGCATATTTAATAATGTAGAAATATAAAAAAATGTAGAAATAAAAATATTTTTTGAAAATCTAATTTAATTTATAAAATCTAAAGTATAATAAAATATATACTATTATATATTTTACATATTTATACTGTATATTTTATGTTTTTTTATTATTACTACTACCATTAATAATAATAATAATAACAATGAATTTATTTGATATATTTTAGATTTATACTTTATATATTATATTTTATACACACTCCGATAATTCAAAAGGTTGAGGTCTGTACAGTTTTTTTTTATGTTTTAGAAAAGTCTCTTATGCTCACCAAGGCTTCATTTCTTTGTTGAAAAATAAAGTAAATACTGTAATATTTTAAAATATTATGATTTGTATATAATTATATTACTATTATTATATATTTCTTTACTGTCACTTGAATTGTAATGTATATAATATAAATTCTAAAAAGTAAAAAAAATATCTTTAAAGATTGGAACAATGAAATGAAAGACAACGGTATGAATTAAAACAGTGACAAAAAAGATAGCATGAACTTAAAATAGAAAGGTTATTTTGTGATTACAAGTTTAAATTCCCAAACTATGTAACTTATATACTGAGCTGATTCCAAGCATTTGTTATTGTAAAAGGCAGTTTTCTCCTTTAAGATGGAATCTTCCTCGGGTTACAGCCTGTGCTGCAACACGTCCCGTCGGATAGGCACAACTTGCGGCCAATTACAGGAGGAAGCTGTTTCTTCTGCTGGGTGATTTACGCCGTGTGCCCCAACCAGGAAAAATGTAGAATATTGCTCTGTTAAATCAACACTGCAGAGTATTGCGGCCCAGGTGATGAATGTTAAAGCAATTTATTGAGCATTAAGGCCAGTGCTTATGCCTACAGCATGCCATTGATACATCCGTTGATGGTAATGATGAGACTGCGGTATGTGTTTGCAGGTGTAAACAAAGAGTTTTCCGAGCAGAGAGTAACTGTAAGAAATCAGGCCTGTCTGTGTGGCTGCAGGGCGGAACACAAAGCGCAGTGGTGGTAGCCATCATCGACTGAGCAACACTCTAAGCAGCTGGTGACAGATCTGTCGGGATGCATGACCACTTTACACCATGCACTGTGTGTGTATGCATGTGTGGGTCACACGCACACACACAGTGTTTTACTGGAGACTTCTGCACAATGCACCTGAGGAATTCCACCAGTGTCCAGTGGTAAAAAGCAGCCTTCAAATGTTCGCTCTAAATAACATGCCCTACTTCATCCGTTAACATGAGCTGCGGCGCGTTCTCTTCACCCATGTTTGCGATTCATACCTCATTAATAAGCACAACGTGTTATTTGATCATAAAGAGGTGGCTTGGTATTCCTTTGGATCAGTATGGTCTTCAGGAGTGAGGAATGCCCATATTTAGAGTTAAGGGTTAGGAATTGCTTTGAGGTGAAATAATTTGTTTTCACATTAGCTCATCTCCAGGCTTCATTCCGATCCTCTGACCAATAAAGTGTGCTCAGGTGCATTCTTTCATCTTGTGCAGAGGCAGAGAATGTAAAGGTGTTCAGATATCAAAAACTATTAGCCTTTTCATGCTTCACATCAGGTTGGCTCCCAGGTAATGACGCTTTGTGTGATCATCATTTGGAGATGTCTGACTGGAGACTAATTTGATGTGGCTGATGTGTGTTCACAATGATTGCAAATATCCTTTGATGCGCCTTGCTTTGGCAGAGTGAATAAAAGAAATATGACTTCTCTAGCCTGATGTAAGGTATGGGACCAGTTTGTGGTACATACTGACCTATTTACCCAATTGCTTAGGCCATGTTCCCTAACTGGAATTTCACCTGCCTGCTTAAATAAGAATGACTGCTGTTGTTGTTTTGTTAAAGAGGTAGTTCACCAGCAATGGAAATTCTGTTATCATTTACTCACACTCATGTTACTTAAAACCTGCATGACTTTCTTTCTTGTGTGGAACGTAAAAGAAGATATTTTTGAAGAATGTTGGTAGCCAAACAGTTTTGGTTCCCATTGACTTACCTTGTACAGACAAGTAATACAGTGAAAGTAAATAGGAAGTGAAACTGTTTGGTTACCACCATAATTCAAAATATTTGTGTGTGTGTGTTCCACAGAAAGAAGCAGAGGCAACACTTTACTTAAAGCCTTTATGTATAATGCATTATAAAAGTAGTTTTAATGCAGTAATTATGGCTCGTAATGCACCTTATAGAGCGTTGTACAATCTCATGAATAATTTGAACCCGCAGTTAACACATTATAACACTTATCAATTCATTGTTACACACTATGCATTTTAAATTTGGTTATAATTATTTATGACAATATATAATGTATGACAACGCACGTTATGAATAATTATAATGCATTATACCCTTTAATAACTATTTATAATGCATTATACATAAAGTCTTTAAGTAAAGCATTACCAAAGAAATACATTTGGAATGACATGAGTGTGTCATAGACAATAGACAATGATTCTGTTCAGTTATTTATTTAATTATGCATTTTTACTTTTTTTTTTTTAAAGGCGCTTTGTATAGCACAGTTTAACACACTTTAATCTAGTACAGTTTTGACTGTAAAATCCACATAGAATTAAAAATTTATAACAATCATTTTAAAATTACAGGTTTAATTTTTAAATCCAATAATATGTGCACATTTTTGAAAGTATGCAGTTATGTTATTAAAAATTTGCTATTTTTCACATCCATATTTAATAGGCTATATGAAGTACCTGAATGTTAGTTATCATGAGATCATTCTATAAACCTAATAAAATAGCAATAAAAAAGGTGATAAAGAGAAAAAGAGGTCAGGATATTTGAATAATAATGCGTTGTCCTTGTTCACAGGGGGTTTTCCATTGATTAATCCACATCAAAGCTGATTGAGAGAGGCAGAAGTCATGGTTCATCACCCCAAGGCAAATCCAAAGCCTGAGTCAGAGCATGTCTGAGAAATGGCAGCCATCAAGTGAAATAGTTTCATAGTGATAAACGTGATTGGTTGAAGGTTTTGACATACTACCAAAACTGCATGTACATATTTCTGGTCTCAAGATTGAGGGGACGTTTTTTTTTCTAAATTCCAGTCTACTTGCATGAAACCGATTAATCCATTCCTGATCGTGATTTACCCATCTAATACCACCGCCGCTCCAGAGATGAGTCTCTTTATATAGCACATTGGCAGAACAATCTCCCACCTTGATTAAAAGCTTCATGTAAAAACATATTAGGCAGTGGAAGTATGACCGCCTGAGGGTGGAGAGGTAGAATTCACTGTTTGCTTTGTGAAGACAGGGAGAAAAAGAGAAGAAGAGGGTGAGGTAATGGAAAGTTCAGTAGCAGGTGAGACTCACCTGAGAAAGCGAGTGACCTGTAGGCCTGTCTGACTGCAGTTGGGGCTGGGGAAGGGAATCTGTTGACAGACACTCAGATATCCCAGGCACTATGGAAAAGATAAAGGCAACATTGTTGTACGGAAGGGGCTGGTCTTAATCTGGGTGAGCTGAAGATCAGTATCATAGCTAGTGGGAGTATTAGTACTTGGTGTTGGCTGTACAGTGCTGGAGAAAGGAAAATCCCTTTGGTGTGTGAGAGATGGAAACATTTGGCTGTTTTTTTCCCCAGGAACGTTTTTGTAATCATGTGCAATGATGAGGACACTGCTCTTTTATACGTCTTTGTTCACACATCCGGTTTAGTTTCCATATATGAACTTTAAGAATGACTGTCTTTGTTAATTTGTGTAAGAATTACAGAACCTCAGACACTTTGATCTTCTGAGACGGACAATACACACACAGTGCATTAACATACAGACATCTGTTTCCACATCTCACTGAGAGAAAATGCGGGAAAACGTCTCTCACATATGCATTGGTTCC